TTTGGAATACGGTGACATGCATCAACCACGTCATTGAGCCTGACCACCCGACCTCGTTAGTCGCTTCTTACGACAAATATAGTCGTCTCTTACAGCAAGCATGGGTTGCTCTACCCGGATCTTCATGGGTCCGTGATAATACTGACATATTGCAAACAATAAGAGACATTAAACCAAACTAATCCCCCCAGCTATGATCCCATCAGCTTAAACAACATTTACATAAAAAACATTCAACAATCAGGGCAATACAACGACCTGTGCTACCGGTCGCATGGTGAGATCAAAGGACAATAAAACATAACCTAGGAATATTATCTGTTTTTGAGCCCAGGTCTCCAAGACAAGCACTAGCATTCCATTATCATGCGAACTTATATCTCCCGTTTCCCTGTTACCCCGCAGGGGAATCGCATTGATTTCTGACCATTCCCTATTACGTTGGTGATAATGATTTTGATATAACGGTCTTCGCATGGGTTTACGACTTTTTCGTGTCGTACTAGGTATCCATGTCATTCGTCTGTCTCTCCTTTCTGTTATAACTATCATTAATTCAGCTTTATAGAAAAACTAAACATTGTAAAGCTCTTTTCACACTGTTCCACCTGTTAGGATACGACATCGCTTGTCCTTTGTGCCCTATGGAGTCTTTCGTCGGACAATCGAGACAGGTTAATGGCTGGCGTTGCTGTTTTTATATTTTTATAACCCGTCATTATGTGAAATAAATTTCAGTCATACATCAGACTTCTGAAACAGGCTTTATCGGTATGCAATAGGGATTCAGCATGTTTACAATGCATTAAGGACAATACATTCTAGTTGGTATTGTCCCTAGTGTCGAATGAGCATTGCCAACGTAGTCATGCCTGACGAACCATTGTCCGGGGTTTCAATTGTCCTGCTCAATACTATACATTGTAGGTTCCTGAAATCAATCGGCTTTAACTATGTATTGTATACCGGGAGTAGATTGTATATGAAGGTTTGACTTCAAGCATGGCTACACCGTATAAATATGGTGTATTTTTGAATTATTTAGTAGATTCAACTAACAGCAACCAACCAACCCGCAGCCTACCAGGGAATCAGTGTTGTATTGTGTGAAATTCGATTTATTGGTTTCAGATCCGGCATCTTAACGAAGATAATATTTCCTGATCCGGGTAACATTAAATGTCCACGGACATTACCTCTTGTCTCTTTGAATCCGGCTTCCTATTTTCAACTTCAAGGAGCAACCACACTTCTGGTCAATATAAACCTTCCCAACGCTTTCACGTCTTGAGTCTCGTTGAGATCCACAAAGAACCATAGCTGTAGGTTTATCGTAAGTCTTTGTTTGAAGCATGGGCGTTACGCCAGTCTTAAAGCTGAACTTGCTTTCTGGAAAAAGCCCGGGACGCTATCAAGATAGTGTCCTACATAATAAAGTCCCGGGGGACATTGTACTCCAGTACAATTGCCCTGGGAAGTTGATCCTGGTTCACCATGCTCCCGGACAGTGATATCTGGGGACCAATGACAAGCATTGACGAGGAACCATTTCCGGGGTTAGGGGTCAAAGTCGATTAGAACCCAACGTCTCATTTTCCAGGATTTAATATCCGCTTTCAAATATTGACAAAAAGATCATTCCTATATTGACCAATACACCAACAACAAAACAACAACATGTTGTTCGTGTAAATGATAACACGTAATACGTGTACATACCAATTAAAAAAGATTATGTAATTATGTTTCGGAGGTCTGACCTTTTGGATTGATCACTGACTAACGCAACCCTTTGTGGTATATTTCGTCACTGGCTCCTAATTTCGACACTTGCTACCAGTGGACAATGCTTGCTTTTTCACTTGCCGAAATTGTTAGGTGGCTTGTTTGGAAGATTTGCACACTATAACGGAGAATTGTTATGCTCAAAATATGAATGTTTAAAGAAACGCTGGTGGGGAGAGAGGGTTTACTGATGACACGTTTCTTAGTTTCATACGCTTCGGTCCTATCACAGTGAGTGAGTGTGGATTTACGTCTCTTCATCACTATTTCAGCAATATCACGGCGTTGTGTTTACGCATTGTACCCATGAAGGGAAACAACCGGGTTTTCGGCGTGACGAGCAAGCGATTTAAACACTTGGCTTCCCCACGGCCCTATCCAATGCTGAAACATACATGTATGTTGCAAAACATGCGGTGTCTCTCAAGCAGGTGAATTTGACTTGCCTTTGCATGTGTTTGTGACGAGTGTCACCGGAGGGACACCTTTTCGCGGACACATGGTATCACCACTATTTCATAGTGATTCATAGACACATGCTCATGATATACTCGGAGTCGTACAGTCGACTGCTTTGGGGGGGGGGGATTTCTTGTGAATATGGAAAGGGTTTTGTAGTTTTTATTCGATATATAGAGTCCTTTTTTATTCGGTAGGTCGACGCGAGAGCTGAAAGATTGCTCATGCGGTGTTAAGCAATAATTACTCACTCACTCACTCGGTAGGATGAGACGGTAATGTGGATGCAATCCCTAAAGAACAATTTGGTTTGTATGATCCCAAGGGAGCTGAACATGCAATTGAAATGCACTATGATCTGTTAGATAATAAATAAATGAAATTCCCTTCCCGCACTGCCGCACGAAGTGGAGTGTCGCTCTTTAATGGTCTTTTCTATTACTATGAACATCAAACCATTAAGGTTTTGTGACGTCATCTGAATCCAATACCAGGATGAGACATTTCATGTTTTTTTCGGTTGCAACGCTTGTAATCATTGTCAATATTAATAGCGGTACATGAAACAAACATGCAACAATGTAAGCAAGTGAGTGAATCGGTGATTATTGTATAAATTGCCACTACATCTGTTAGCTTTTCATGACCGACATAGTGATTAACGAATAAAGCGAATATATACTACCCTAAAAAACGAAAATTACATGGTGAGTGAGTTGTGTTTAACACCGCTTCTAACAGTATTCCAGTTATATCACGGCGTGTCAGCTTAATGTGGAAAGAAAGCCCCAATTGATGCAGGTCGTAGACGTTTACAACATCGGTGAAACCCACGACCACGGGTATGGTGCTGACAAACCTAGGAACATAATCGGGGCGAATCGGGATTCCAACCCACAATCATATGTTTCCCAAGGGACGCAACTCTGCTCAGCGAATCGCGGCGCCTTAGAAGACTGGGCCACCCGTGCCCCCAACAGACGTTAAATACGGATTTTGTCTCTTTGCTCCTCCGTGGAGGTTTATAAACGGTCCCGCCAAATTAACACCTGCTCGAAGTGAAGGTTGCATTTTGAGCTTATATACAGGTACCATCACATGGCTACCTGGCCTTGTTTTGTTTGCTCTTCTGGGCACACTCACGTGCACGTGTTCTCATTTCTGCTTTTCCTGATTATAATGTCAGGTTTGTTCACATGACATGATTTCCTGCTTCGTGATTGTGGTTAACAATGAGTTTGGTTTCCCAGTTATGTCGTGACAGGATAATTGGAAATCCTTATCAAAAGGAAAAAAACATTTAGCATCTCTTAACGGAACAAGTAATTACTAGCTTCAGACAATGACGTTTCAAATTCAGAGACAATGACTTCGTCCTTTTGACAATGCAGTGTAACAAGTATTCATCCTCCCGAACCTAGGCAAGTTTTCTAAATTCAGCATCTTCGATTTCATGAGGGAGTGAATGAGGGAGTGCTTTCAGGGAAAACCCCAAATCATGCAGGATCCCGAACGCAGCAGTACACTGAACAGAGTTGCCTATATTTACCGTGGCATAACATGATAATAATAATAATTAATTTCAAATTTCACCTGTTTCCAATAACAGTAGATCAGGAATTGAAAGCATTTTGCATTACGCAATCATGTTATCCTAACAATAAACGGAGTGTCACCTTTGCTGGGGATGGCACAGCACTCGCTTTGCTGCTTTGATAAAAAGAAAATTCAAATATTCCTCCAAAATGGAGTGTGTGGAGATAAAAAAACACGTTCTTCCTTTATTTGCAGGATATCTACTATGGAGTAAGTAAGTGAGTGAGTGGTAGTTTGTCAGAATCTCTGATGCTCCATGGTTGTGTTTCTTGCTTTCTTGGCACAATTTCTCTGGATGTCTAAAACCTGCGTTTTTTTCTCCACATTTAACTGAAAGCACTCACTCACTCACTCACTCACTCACTCACTCACTCACTCACTCACTCACTCAGTATGGTCGTGTAATATGTGTTGGCTGAAGACGCAAGACTCGTGATCAGTGCTTCACTATGACTGAACGTTACGTGACATTTGGCATTATCTTGGCTCGGCTAAAGATGGTCCTGAGCCTGCGTTCTGTAGCTAGTCGTGTCTGAAGCAAGCGAATAGTAACGTTTACGCCAGCCCCATCGCGCCGCCACTTAACCAGCTGGCTACCTGAGCTTATCTACTGCAGAGAATTATTTGTTCCCAGTTATAATAATACAAGGTTGTACGATGCGTGGCTTATCACCATACAAACAAACCGGCGCAGACACGGGAACAAGATTCTTCAGCTGTGCTTTCCTTACACATATTGTGCAAGTGAGTGGGAAGAAGGAGGTACAATTTCCATTTGCGTGTTTAATTTTAATGAATAATATAATTGGTTTCAAGTAACACAAGAGAGATTGTAAGGTGATCGGTGTATACTTTCAAGTTCAGTATGTTGATCACGTTCAGAATGTTGATCACGTTCAGTTTGTTGATCACGTTCGGTATGTTGATCACGTTCGGAATTTTGATCACGTTCGGTATGTTGATCACGTTCAGAATGTTGATCACGTTCGGTATGTTGTTCACGTTCGGTATGTTGATCACGTTCAGAATGTTGATCACGTTCGGTATGTTGTTCACGTTCAGTATGTTGATCACGTTCAGTATGATGATCACGTTCAGTATGTTGATCACGTTCAGTTTGTTGATCACATTCAGTTTGATGATCACATTCAGTACGTAGATCACTTCGGTATGTTGATCATGTTCAGTATGTTGATCATGTTCGGTATGTTGATCACGTTCAGCATGCCGATCACGTTCAGTATGTTGATCACGTTTAGTATGTAGATCACGTTCAGTATGTTGATCATGTTCAGTACGTAGATCACGTTCAGTTTGTTGATCACGTTCAGTATGTAGATCACGTTCAGTATGTTGATCATGTTCAGTACGTAGATCACGTTCAGTTTGTTGATCATGTTCAGTATGTAGATCACGTTAAGTACGTAGATCACGTTCAGTATGCCGATCACATTCAGTACGTAGATCACGTTCAGTACGTAGATCATGTTCAGTATGTTGATCACATTCAGTATGTTGATCACGTTCAGCATGCCGATCACGTTCAGTATGTTGATCACGTTCAGCATGCCGATCACGTTCAGTGGTAAACGTATCCACAATCACGAGTATGTGTACGGTGTTAAACATAGGTTCAATTCCAATACTTGCCTTGTTGCATAAAATTGGAACCCGTGAAGATCTGGGTCTTCGGTAACACATGTTTGTCGTAAGAGGCGACCGACGGGATCAGGTGGTCAGGCTCGCTGACTTGGTTGATGCATGTCATCGTATACCAATTGCGTGGTCTACGACTTTGGTCCAGGCTGTTCCTGGACATAAATCTGACTCTTGAGATGGACGTAAAGCCAGGCTTACTCATCATCCTGTTGATTGTATAAGCAAGCAAGCAATTCTTTGCAGCATTCATGATCCTTTGAACGTTGACTGAAAGGTGGGGTGAGACGAAATGGGGTTTAGCGTCGCGTTCAAAATTATTGGACTTATATAGCGACGTGCATGCACGGGTGTGTGTGTGTGGCTGCTTGTACTAGTCCGGACTGATGCCGATTTATAGTGCTAGCTCACTGAGATACCATACCGCAGTTTAACATGAATACCACACTCAGACACAGTATAGTGACTCCGAGCCGACCAATCCTTGTTTTAGCCCCTTAATGCCGAGTGCCAGACAGGGTAACAACAAGTACCATCTTTTAACGTCTTTTGGTATGACGCGGCCTAAGGTGCCGACTTATGTATGAAACTTAATATGTAGAATTGCGTATCTTAAACACCATGATCCTGTTCCATGAAACTTAAGCCTAAGAGTTCCCTAACTTTCACCTTATCACGCTCGTTGAGTAAGCAATCCCTTCATGGATCGCTCGTAGGGATACGATATGTTTCGATAACATAATAAGGTTACAGTTTAACAGTCTTAACTACCATAGTGGCAGTGTAGTAGCTCAGTGGTTAAAGCGTTCTTTCGTTATGTCGAAGGCCCGGTCGATTCCCTACATGTGTAGATTCCCTTCCGGTGTCCCCCGCCGTGATGTTGCTCGACTGTTGCTAAAGGCGACGAATCGACCTATACACTCTCACTCACTACAATTAACAAATATCTTTTTGGAATGTCCAGAAACTTGGCACTGTAGAATTCCCCGTTCTTGAATGAAGAATAGTGTTGGAAGCTGGTAGGAATCACTGATTTCAGATAAGTATCCACTCCTTACTTGAATCCGCACAGTAAATATGACACACGTCAGGTCGAAAAAGGCCTCGAATTGCCTTGGAAAAATTCCCATCCCGAAACTTATTGAACGATCACTTCTGTCTGTCTGTTTGCAAACAACAAAGATGAATAACTCTAAATTACTCGCTGCCGAAGTGCCGTTGAAATCTGGCCACGACAGCACTCGACATTGTACTAGCCCTTTAACACAATACACTGACTCCGAACCGACCACGCCTTGTTTTGTCCACTTAATGCAGAACGTCAGACAGGGTAACAACAATCAACGTGATTTTTAACGGCACGCCGTTACACATGGATTCGAACCCACGCGTAGGACTCATTTGAACAGCATATTGCGACGCCTTTGACGTATTGGCCACACATCCTGCGTAGTTAACTGCACAAAAACGACCAACAAAATATGTTCATCTAACAGTGACAAATGACCGCATGACAAATAGGTAATTCACTTCGTCACCTGTTACCACAGAGAAATCGATGAACACCATAAGACATAAATTGTATGAAACTGTATGAAGCAATATAAGCGAAACAGGAGATTAATCAAACAGCAATGCGACAGAAGACTGAAAAACTCAGCCAACCTTAGGCAAACTCACGTAACTGAAAGTACATGGAATTAATTCATCATCATCATCATCATCATCATCATCATCATCATTAGCATCATCATCATCATCATCATCATATACATAAAATAACATTCTGAAGGTATTTTTCCTAAGGATAAGAAATAATTATTAAAGGAACATTTGTCATCTATTCAGTGTTATTGAAAAGTGGCTTGATTACCATAATATTATATGCAGCTCTTAATGATAAGTAACGTGGACGTGCATTATTGATTTTGCAATTATCTCAGCGTCCGTGGGTACGCTGTACGCAGTTATATGTCTGACGCCATCTGACGCACTGTAATGTAGAACAAGCAAATGTTCAGGATCACTATTAACGTTACCACGTGTGATCAACCAAATGTGAATTAGATATGTTTTTGACTTATAACATCACCTATGTCATAGGTAAGGCTGCAATACGTCAAAAAGCTCAACAATATCTTCTTTATTGGCCCATTTTGTGGCAAGTTGTGTTCACAATACGTGGTTTTAAGGAAACGTTATGTCTACATTTGAACATGACGAAAATATTTGATGATTTTCTCAGGAGATGAAGATGAAAATAATACAGTCAGATGTAAAGTCATCGTGGGATCCTGTTAGAGTTTCAAATTCATGTGAATGTGATGTGGCAGTTTTATTTATTGTTATTTATTGTGATTGTATTGAATTGTTTCTGTTAAGATTCAGTAGACGTTCATAACATTGTGTTTCAACAAATATTTGATGTCAGAAATGTGTTACTATGTTATGTAAGCAGTGTTGTGGAAGTTACTATTTATCTATGTAAATTTCAAGAGCAATCTGGAATCTTATGGAGCATCAAGACTAATCCAGCACTGTATGGAACATTTTAGAAGATATTTAGATGTGAGGTGAGGTGAAATGGGGTTTAACGTCGCGTCCAAGATTATTGCACTTATATAGCGACGTGCATGTACGTGTGTGTGTGTATATGTGGCTGCTTGTACTAGTCCGGACTGATGCCGATTTATAGTGTTAGCTCACTGAGATACCATGCCGCAGTTGAACATGAATACCCCACTCAGACACAGTATACTGACTCCGAGCCGACCAGTCCTTGTTTTAGCCCTTTAATGCCGAGCGCCAGACAGGGTACCATCTTTTAACGTCTTTTGGTATACGCTCTACCACTAGACCGCGGAGGCGGTCAGAATAAGATATTTCGACTATATGAGGGATATATGAACGTGAATGTAATGAGAAGAAAACCTTTTCTCTCTGACAAAATACAGTGTACATTTTACTGCCAAATTGCGGGATCCCTTTCAGTGTTATTGTCGCAGAAACACATGGCATGCTTCTCAGGCTCAGACAGTTCAGTCATGGTTTCTTAATGCGTCAGTTGTATCAGATGGCACGGAATGTACATGTGTGCCATATTTAAACCTAAGCACAGAAATTCAGTGTGTCAGTGAATGAGGATGGTTTTACACCGCTGTTAGCAATATTCCAGCAATATCACGTCGAAGGACACCAGACATGGGCACACATATACCCATGTGGGGAATCGAACCCAGGCCTTCGGCGTGACGAGCGAACCCTTAACTACTAGGCTAATCCGCCGTCACAGAGATTCAGAGTGACCGAACACATGTATATGATATCGTCGGAATCGAGAAGTGGACTCTAATCAGCAGATACTTCTCATGATTATGGAAAGTATTTTGTGGATTATATTTTGTGAAAATGCATGAATGACGGACAATCCAGAATGACTGACAATGCCTTGATGATTTGGAATACATGAATGACAGAATGTATCGATGACTTGGAATGTATGGATGACTGACAATACATGAATGACTGACAATACGTGAATGACTGATAATTCGTGAATGACTGACAATGCGTGAATGATTGATAAATCGTGAATGACTGAGAATGCGTGAATGACTGACGATGCGTGAATGACTGACGATGCGCGAATGACTAATAATTCGTTAATGGCTGAGAATGCAGAATGACTGAAAATGTAAGAATGACTGAGGTTGCGTGAATTACTGACAATGCATGAATGACTAAGAATGCGTGAATGACTGAGAATTCGTGAATGACTGAGAATGCGTGAATGACTGACGATGCGAGAATGACTAAGAATTCGTGAATGGCTGACAATGCGAACGACTAAAAATGCAGAATGACTGACAATGCGTGTATGACTGAGTATGCGTGAATGACTGACGATGGGGGAATGAATGACAATGCCTGAATGACTGACAATACAGAATGACTGAGAATGCGTGAATGACTGACAATGCAGAATGACCGAGAATTCGTGAATGGCTGAGAACGCAGAATGACTGAAAATGTAAGAATGACTGAGGTTGCGTGATTTACTGACAATGCATGAATGACTTAGAATGCGTGAATGACTGAGAATTCGTGACTGACTGAGAATGCGTGAATGACTGAGAATGCGTGAATGACTGAGAATGCATGAATGACTGAGAATACGTGAATGACTGAGAATGCATGAATCACTGAAAATGCGTGAATGACTGAGAATGCATGAATTACTGAGAATACGTGAATGACTGAGAATATATGAATGACTGAGGATGCGTGAGTGACTGAGAATGCAGGCACGAAAATTATGCACTGGTAAGCAAGAATGAAAGAATGTTTAAAATACAGCAACAACTGAGCATTCCTGTATGCCTAAGAACGCCCGGATGACGTAAAAGACGGAAACAAGTTTGTTTGAGTTGCACGACATCAAATATTTTAGAATTTAAACTCATACTGTTCACTCTAATCTTTGCTGATATTTTGTATCTTAACAAATAGAAACATTTACTATACAGTTGCCCACGTAAACGTGCCTATAGCCAGTATTTGGCGTGTGGGAGTACACCACCATTCAAGTAAAGAAATGCTTTTTAAAAGGTAATCGTGTTTTAGGCATAAAAACAATGTTTACAATACAGATTTTTTACCATACCACAAAACACAATCGTGATAACGTCTTTATCGTAATATTTGTTTTTAAAGCTTACTCGAAAAAGGTATTGTCTTCTATCACGAAAGGAACAAAAACATTCCGAGTTTTCCTGGAATGTGCGCATTAATATATTATGTCACAAGGTCAGTGATAAGTCAGTCGGACATTGACAACAGCAAATAAAGTTCCTACTGAAACCTGTTTTAGACAGTGGCGTAACTACCATATAGACAAAAGACAATTGCCTCC